AATAAAATATTGAGGGTTACAGACTCTTATTAATCCTCTGATTATCTCCCAAGAATAATATGCGTTTGACTTTGAATTTCGGAGGCGGGTCGTTGACTTGATCTTCTCCGAATTTGATTTGGATTTGGATAACGTTTACCAATGGTCTTGCGACTTGAATATCGGATCGAACGCTGAACTTTGACGGGTTTTGACTTGAAGATCTTGGAGTTCTTGATGGATTTGGCCCTTCAATCTTCCTTCGATCTTGATTTATTGAACTTTGACGGGCTTTGACTTGAAGATCTTGGAGTTCTTGATGGATTTGGCCCTTCAATCTTCCTTCGATCTTGATTTGTTGAACTTTGACGGGCTTTGACTTGAAGATCTTGGAATTCTTGATGGATTCGGCCCTTCAATCTTCCTTTGATCTTGATTTGTTGAACTTTGACGGGCTTTGACTTGAAGATCTTGGAATTCTTGATGGATTTGGCCCTTCAATCTTCCTTCGATCTTGATTTGTTGAAGAACGCCCTCGATTTGATGAAGTACGCCTTGAATTTGATGAAGAACGACTTGAATTTGATGAAGAACGACTTGAATATTGTAGAGAGAATTTCCTCCTACGGTTTTTCTTCTTCTTGAGTTGTGTTTTTTTATTGTGTAGGGAGGGTCCCTATTTATAGTGGTAGAATAAGAGTCCTACATAAAGACTTCTTGATGACGTGGCGCAATTTTATTGGCCTTTATTAATTTGATATTTATCTCTTAAAACTTGAAGGAGAAGAAACAATCCTATTGGCCAACAATTAATTGATATTTATCTCCACGACTTGTCTTGCAAGATAAGATATAATTTAATTTAGACACAATTTAATTGGCTAATTTAATTAACCAATTAATTAATTTTATGCGTCTACAAATGCCCCCTCGAGACTTGTTCACGGACAATGCGTCTTGGAGTGAATGAGTCTCGATAATTGTTTAACTTCAATTGCAGCTTTATCTAGCAAAGCACATACATCTTTTGAAATCATGACTGGACTTAGAGAGATTATAAGTTGCCTACGTACCCTATAGAGGGATCAAGTTATAACGTAGTTCAAAATATATCCTTTTAAGGGATGTCATGCACAGTTTACACTCATGTGGACAAGGAGAAATATTTGCAGTTTAAGCTCGTGCTGAAGGAGCATTTGACTTGAATTTGTAGATAGTTTACGCTCGTATCAAGGAGCCTTGACTTGATTTCGATATATAGATAGTTTATGCTCTTATCGAGGAGCCTTGACTTGATTTGGATTTATAGATAGTTTATGCTCGTATCAAGGAGCCTTGACTTGATTTGGATATATAGATAGTTTATGCTCATATCGAGGAGCCTTGATTTGATTTGGATATGTAGATAGTTTATGCTCGTATCAAGGAGCCTTGACTTGATTTGGATATATAGATAGTTCATGCTCGTATCGAGGAGCCTTTACTTGATTTGGATATATAGATAGTTTATGCTCGTATCAATGAGCCTTGACTTGATTTGAATATGTAGATAGTTTATGCTCGTATCAATGAGCCTTGACTTGATTTGGATATATAGATAGTTTATGCTCGTATCAAGGAGCCTTGGTTTGATTTGGATATGTTGAAATTTTAAACTCGTGTCAAGGAGTACTTCGTTTGATTTGGACTTGTAGACCTTTTAAACTCGTGTCAAGGAGTATTTCACTTGATTTGGACTCGTAGACCTTTTAAACTCGTGTCAAGGAGTGCTTCATTTGATTTGGACATGTAGACCTTTTAAATTCGTGTCAATGAGTGTTTCACTTGATTTGGACTTGTAGACCTTTTAAACTCGTGTCAAGGAGTGCTTCATTTGATTTGACTTGTCATATTGCATAGGGTGTTGGTTCCTCAAAACACTTGCCCCCATCCTCATGATCTTCCTGTTCTTCTTCAATATGTTCTTCATTGAGCTTGTACGGCTTTTGGAATGGTGGTTCTTCAATTTGATTTGCAAGTATGCTCAACTCCATATCATGTGCTCGAGTGGCCAACTCTTCAAAACTTTTAGGTTGAATTACTTGAAGGATATATCGGAGTCCCCATTGCATTCCTTGGATGCACAGTTCAATAGCTGATGTCTCAGGCAGTCGATCCTTGCAATTGAGACTCAAATTTCTCCAACGATTGATGTAGTCGATGACAGGTTCCTTCTTCCATTGGCGGGAATTGGTGAGCTCAATCATGCTGACTGTTCTTCGAGTGATGTAAAAGCGGTTGAGAAATTCTTCCTCTAAGTGCTTCCAACTATCAATTGAGTTTGCCCCCAAATCAATGTACCAATCAAACGCATTGTCTTTGAGCGATCGGACGAACTGCTTGACGAGATGATCTCCGTACGTTCCGGCGTCATTGCAAGTCTCCACGAAGTGTGCCACATGTTGCTTGGGGTTGCCTTTGCCGTCAAATTGTTGAAACTTTGGAGGTATGTAGCCCATTGGCATCTTTAGATCATCAATCCTTGGCGTGTAGGGCTTGACATAGGTTGACGGCGACTTAGAGCTTCCTTCCAACTTCTCTTTGATGGTTTCACTGATCGGCGTCATCACTTGATCTACATGAATCAGCCCTTAGGAAGAAACTTGAAGTTCTTGAGTTGGAGCCTTCTCGTTTTCAACTGATTGTTGCTTTGTGGATGTCGCAGCTTCGTCTTGAGCCTCTATCTGATCCACAACTTGACTAGCATCAGCTTTGTCCATCTTGTCGATCAACTTGGCAATTTAAGAATCTCGTTGTTGAACATGCTTTGTGAGTCCCTCAATAGCCTTGGCCAAACTTGCAATTTGCTCTTCCATAGTTGTAGCGTTTATTGTCATGACGGATGCCATCTCTGAGTAGCTTGATGTTGAATGAGGTGTGGGCTGTGAGATCTCTCGTTTTGAGCTTTCCACGACTGCGCTTGTGTTGACAAGAGGTGGTAAGCCTTTCTGAACGGTTTGGGACGTCGACATAGTCTTGGAGGATGCTTGCAACTTCTTAGCCATACTCCTTGTAACTAAGCCCACACTTGATGAATCCGAAGCAGCAGTCTTCATTGCGAACGTAGAGCAGTCACTGCAACACTTTGAGGATCTTCGAGAGAGAGAAGAGATGAGAGGTAGAGATGTCCCACCGGGCGTGCCAAAATTTGTAACAACAAATTCTTATCTGTGAATTTAACAAACAAGAAAAACTTGCACAAAGATAATTTATTGAATTAAAATAAAATATTGAGGGTTACAAACTCTAATTTAATCCTCTGATTCTTCTCCCAAGAATAATATGCGTTTGACTTTGAATTTCGGAGGCGGGTCGTTGACTTGATCTTCTCCGAATTTGATTTGGATTTGGATAACGTTTTCAAAGGGTCTTGCGACTTGAATATCGGATCGAACGCTGAACTTTGACGGGTTTTGACTTGAAGATCTTGGAGTTCTTGATGGATTTGGCCCTTCAATATAATCTTCCTTCGATCTTGATTTGTTGAACTTTGACGGGCTTTGACTTGAAGATCTTGGAGTTCTTGATGGATTTGGCCCTTCAATCTTCCTTCGATCTTGATTTGTTGAACTTTGACGGGCTTTGACTTGAAGATCTTGGAATTCTTGATGGATTTGGCCCTGCAATCTTCCTTCGATCTTGATTTGTTGAACTTTGACGGGCTTTGACTTGAAGATCTTGGAATTCTTGATGGATTTGGCCCTTCAATCTTCCTTCGATCTTGATTTGTTGAAGAACGCCCTCGATTTGATGAAGAACGCCTTGAATTTGATGAAGAACGACTTGAATTTGATGAAGAACGACTTGAATATTGTAGAGAGAATTTCCTCCTACGGTTTTTCTTCTTCTTGAGTTGTGTTTTTTTATTGTGTAGGGAGGGTCCCTATTTATAGTGGTAGAATAAGAGTCCTACATAAACACTTCTTGATGACGTGGCACAATTTTATTGGCCTTTATTAATTTGATATTTATCTCTTAAAACTTGAAGGAGAAGAAACAATCCTATTGGCCAACAATTAATTGATATTTATCTCCACAACTTGTCTTGCAAGATAAGATATAATTTAATTTAGACACAATTTAATTGGCTAATTTAATTAACCAATTAATTAATTTTATGCGTCTACAGTAATTTAACTGTCAATTGACTTTTTTTTTTCTTCAAAAATATTTTAATTAATATTACTGTATTCGTTGCTAAATTACTGTCTCCAACAGTTATTTAACTGTCGGAAACAGTAATTTAACTGTTAATTGACTTTTTTATTCTTAAAAAAATATTTTTAATTAATATTATTGTATTCGTTGCTAAATTACTGTCTCCAGCAATTATTTAACTGTCGGAGACAGTAACCTTTTTTTTTTAATTTGTTTTCTTAAAAAAAATTATTTAATTAATATTACTGCCTTGGCTGCTAAATTATTGTCTCCAACAGTAATTTAACTGTCTTAGACAATAATATTAATAATATTATTGTTCGGAAAAATAATATTTATAATATTACTGTCCCAAACAGTAATATTACTGTCTGAGACAGTAATTTAGTAGCCAAGACAGTAATATTAATTAAAATATTTTTTTTTCTAAGAAAAAAAGAATTCAAATAAAAAAAAAGTCAACGCCGGAGACTGGCGGTCAACGTTGGTTGACCGGCCGGAAAAAAATTTCAGGAAAAAAAAGTTTTCAAAAAAAAAAAAAGTCAACGCCGGAATCTGTCCGGAAAAAAAATTCAGAAAAAAAATTATTTTCTGAAAAAAAATTGTGGGGGGTTAATGTAATATATTTGTTTAAATCGGGGTCAATGTGTTTATGGAGGGTATTTTAGGCTAAAGACATGTGATGGGCCTTTTTGGCATTCGACTATTTAATAATATATAAGTAAAAATAAATTATTATTTATTGAGTTTGAATTTAGTTTTTATTAAAATTAATGAGGTATATGTAATAGTTGATCAATATGAGGGGTTTATATGTAATTATACCTAACTTAAAAGGAGGTGGATGTAAATATACAATATTTGATCAAGGGCAAACTGAAATTTTAGAAAAGTCAAATGGGTCAAATATTGGCTAATACCGAACCTCAAGAGAGGTATGTATAGTTATTTAAATAAAGGGGGTCTGATCTATAATTATACCAAACCTCAGGGAGGTAGATGTAATGTAACCCATATCTAAAAGTGGATACCATATAATCGGGTCGGATCCAAACAGACTGGGTGGAGCCTCGAAGAGAAAGCATCCAGATTTCAGATCTTTGCGTCTCACCGTAAATTATTGTAGTCCATAGTCCATTCTGAAGAAGACGGGGAAAATGGAGTACAGAAGAATTAAGGATCAGGTTTGCATTCTTCTCTCCAAACATATCATGTTTTTTCTTATGTGCTGTTCCGCGACTGGTTCACCTGTGTTATTTGCCAATTTGATCTGTATCCCATTGTCAGTGATCTGCTGTTGTATATTCTGCCTATATTTCTCTCACATTATATCCTAATTTTTACTGCGTGCTGTCCGACTGGTTCACTGGTGTTATCTGCCGATTTGATCTACCTCTCATCGTTGTTGATCTGCTGTTGTCGGTTAAAAACTATTGTCTATATTTTTCAATTGTTGCTTTTTTTCTCTCTCAATCAGTTCTTGCTATGCCCACACTCTGTTGTTTTCTCTCTCTTCCAGTTCGTGCTCTGCTCGAACTCAATTATCGTGGTTCTATGCTTCTGATTCAACAACATTTAAAATCTGCACTAGTAATGCGTCTTAATTATTGCTCCCTATCTACTGATAAATGCCGAATCATTTAGGATAAAGATGAGGACGCACTTAAAGATGATGTTGAGAGCCTACGAGGGAATTCCCATTCAGGTGCAATATGGCAGTCACCTCAAATCCTTACCACTTAGCTGCTCTTATTTATGTTATGCTTTTTGCATCCCTCATCTTTCATTTTTTCATACATCTGAGTTTATTTATCCTTACACTTGGCTGTTGGATTACAGGCTCTCCCAAAAACGTGATTCCTTTAGGAGGCATCTCTGTTGACCGTTCTAAGTGGAAGCGCAAGTATGAATATATTTCAATTCCTCTATCTAGGAGTATGCCAACTAATACTTTCTCATTTGTATCATATTGCTTTTTGCCAATAATAAACATAGGTCCATTGTAACACTTGCATTGACGATTCTTACAAGTTCACAAGCCATTCTTATTGTCTGGTCAAAGAGGGCTGGCAAGTACGAGTACAGCGTTACAACTGCTAATTTTTTGGTGAGTAGTTGATATTTCCTGTTAGGATAGTTATTATATAGTTTTTGGAGTATTCTTCATTTGCTATCACGTTCGGGAAATGGTCAGACTATCTGGAAGAATATTCTAAATTTGGTCTTCAAATGATTATCTCTGATTAGGTAGAGGCTTTGAAATGTGCTCTATCACTTGCAGCCCTGACAAGGATATGGAGGATTGAAGGTGTTACTGAGGATAACAGGTTTCTTCCACTCAGTGTTCATTTTCCATTAATTGACATAACAAGTATATCACGTATTTCGGGAGCAGAGGTCCTTTATCTATCACTGGGAAAAAAGGGTTCAGGAGAAATCAATCTATTATATTAGCAGACCTCAATTAAAATGTTTGGACAGTATAATTGGACAAATCTCATTGCTAAAGCTATCTAAGTCTGAGTCTCCAGTCAAGTAGTTCTGTTCCTATACCATTGCGCACATCAAACTCTCTTAAATAAAAAAAATGCACCTTAAAATGATTTGCATGTTGGGGATGCCTTTTTAGCTACAGCTAAATGCTACTTTTAAAACTATATTGGGCTGTAGAATTGATACACAATTTCATCTTTCCTGATTTTTTCTGCCAATAACTTGTGTTTTTTGTTTTCCAACGTTCCCCATATAGGTTGACTACCACATGGGATGAAGTTAGTGTATACCCTATTCCTGCTGCTCTATACCTCGTCAAGAATTTACTTCAAGTAAGTTAAGGTTCTTGTCTGTTGAAAATTTCCCATGGATTCTTTTAGTTCCTCTTTCGCATTACACTCTTTCCTAAATGTGTATCTTTTGTTGCAGTATTACATCTTTGCATATGTAGATGCTCCAGGTTACCAAATACTAAAGAACTTAAACATTATTAGCACCGGTGTGTTGTACCGTATCATTCTAAAGAAAAAGTAAGTCAAGCCTCACAACTTACTCTTATTGAGCATAATTAGTCTTTACTTGACATCAGCTCCTTTGCGAGGACTTTAGTCTAAATAATTTCGAGATGTTTGTGATGTCATGACAACCAAAAAGTAACCTATTTATTTTTTCTCGTGATTATGGATGATAGGCCTTTCAAAACAAATAAATAACTTGTCAGAAACATCTCTTTTCAGGCTGAGTGAAATTCAGTGGATAGCTTTCATTTTACTATGTGCAGGGTGCACCACGGCACAACTTAACTCCAAGTAAGGATGTTTTCGTTATGTCTCTGTTATTGTATTTAAGTATCACTTAGAGTTTTAACCACATTGTTCATGATATAAGCAGTGAGTTTCTTTGATACTACAACCATAGAAAATAATGATAAGGAGGTGTAAGCTTTGTGCTTGCTTTCTATTTGGCCAACCAGTGTAGTTACTCGTTCTCCTATATATATGTAAGATAATATTGAATTATATAACGTAACGTCGTTGACCAAATGAAGAAAGAGAATCAAATAGAATGGAATTATATCGTGAAAAAACCTGGAAGGAGATAAAATTGACACTCTAATTGTATGCTGAACATGAAGGAAAATTTCGATATTTGTATTGTATGTCAAACTTGAATATTAATTTACTATAAGTAACCTGTTTGACACCTTTTTTATATAATAAAACAATCACGCACAGTGTTCATCGGCTTGGCTAGATGAATTAATAAAAATCCAGTAGAAGGTAGTCAAGGTTTTCTAGAGGGGATATAACTGACACTGTACTTGCAGGTCAAATGTGAATATTATATGCACATTTCATTTGCATGTCAAATTCAAAAATAAATAATAAGTAGAGAATATTTGTGTAGAAATTTGATATAAAATTAGTTGGGCAACTATATCTAAAATGCTGCTTGTGTTTGATACATCGTCATACATTATCTTTGACAAAAAGGTCACCTGCAAGTTCTGCTCTACCTTATTTCTTTTTTGAATTGGCACATTAACTTGGTTTAAAATATTTATGCCATTTAGTTACTCGTGATAGTAATTAAAGCCTTGATTTGAAATTTAATGTGATAGTAGTTGCATAATGACTCCTATCATGCCATAGTGGTGCTACTTAGAAAATAGAGGAGGCCTATGAGTCACACCCTTTAATGTTATTGTTTTCTTCCACTTTATGTTTCTACTTTGCTTTTGTAACCTTGACCATCTTTACACATTTTCCTGTCCTTAAGCTATCTCATTCTTTCTGCAGTTCCGATCGAGTGTTGCAAACACCTCTTCAAGGTTGGCTGATGGCAATTGTGAGCTGCTAAACTGAAATTCTTACAGCATATCAAAATCAGCCCATGATTACTCATCACATAGAACCAAATGGATTTCCTTCACCTAAAATTTCTTTCTTATTACTTTAACACCCCATTTGATATAGGATTTAGCAGGGGAAAGTAGAAAAGCAAAAATATGAGAAACTAAAGTTCATTTTTTTTTTTTTTTTTTTTTCGGTGGACAAAAGAGCCACCATTTTACTAGAGATCTGTTGCTAATTATGTAAAAAGGAAACAAAATTGATTTACATGTTAGTAATATCTCTCATAATCGTATAAATACAAGCATGTGCGTTGTGTTCTGTTTTAAAATCAAATAGAGAGAATTATATATATTAATCTTTTCTGGATTAAATTTCAGATCCAAACATAATTTTAAGTAACTCTTTGTGAATCATTTCAGATCATGGCTCTTCTTAGTGGTTTTGCTGGAGTCTACACGGAGGTAAAGCTGAGGCCCATCTTTTTATCTTATTGCAGTCTGGTTTTTTAAATAGGGAAGGAAGTGGTTAGTGTGTTATAAATTCTTGATTCTTGGTGATAAACAGTGTTATCATATGAATTCTTCTGGATTTTATTAACATTACATTTTGTTCTAAGTTAAAGAATTGCTGAGCAAGATTATATTTTAGTACCTGCTTGGCCTTGTTTTGATATTTGGTTTTGTTTTTTGTAGGCCATAATTAAAAAGAGGCCTTCAAGGAACATTAATGTCCAGAACTTCTGGTTGTATGTATTTGGGATGGCTTTCAATGCTATTGCGATACTCGTTCAGGATTTCGATGCTGTGATGAACAAGTAAATTGAAACTGCTTATTTCTTGCTTCTCTTTGTTTTCTATTTATATCAGTGGTTCGAGTTATTCCATGGACAAAAGTCACACATTTACTCTTATGTATAACCAATAAAATAATTCTGGGACCATAGTTGTTACTCTGCTGATGATATAATCTAGCTAGAAAAACTTTCAGGAGGTTCTCCTATAAATGGAACATAATATCCGTTAGAATATCATTGACCTAGAATATACAGTAAGATTTGCTGAAGGGTGAAGCAGCATATAGGATTTGTTATCTTCTATCTTTTTCAGCAGCACCTGTTTGGACACACTGTATACATATTCTAAAGAAGTAAATGTTATGTTTCTCTCTGCAGGGGATTCTTTAATGGATATTCGTTAATTACAGTTCTCATGATTTTAAACCATGCTCTGAGGTACTTTTTTCAATCTATGCTCCCTCTGTCTCATTTTGATTGTTCTATTTTGAATTGGCATGGAGCCCCTTCACGGATCTAGAAGCTATTGTTTTGTTGTGCTTATTGTTGTTACATCATTACTTAGACCTTAAGTGAGAGGGTCTCTTTGAGAAGTTGTTATTTTGGGAAATAAACATTATCTGTTGACATCCAAAAAAGGAATAAACATTTAACTTGGGGGTTGGGACTTTGAGAGATTTCATTAGAAACCATAGTGCTACTAGTCGTTGTTCTGTTTATCATTGTGTAGAGATACTTTATGTGTTTAAAATTTATATTTACTAGAGCGTGTCCTAATATAGTTGATTTCTGTGCAGTGGCATTGCTGTATCAATGGTCATGAAATATGCTGACAACATAGTGAAGGTAATGAGCAAATTCATTCTCTATGTTCAGTTTAGTATGAATGTGAGGTTTTCCGTTAAAAAAATATGTACTGAAAATCTGGAATGCGGTTTAAGTTTAGATGTATTATCTTCGATAGATAATACTATTTGATTAACTTTTTTTTTTTTTTTTTTTTTTTTTTTTTTTTTTGTTAATTTGTGGTGTGACGTAATTTATACACCAAATTATGGCCAGTGTTCTGATATCACTATTGTGAGACCCGCCCAATTATCTCATGTTCACCCAACCCCGTCAATTGGAGTTTAATGTTGAAACTTTTTGGGAAATTTTTATGCCACCAAAGCATGGGGTAAGGATTAGACTACATTTTGGACAAGTTATTCGTAGATGGTTTTTTAGTTTTTTGAAAGGTAAGATGACGATGAAATGGCTATATCTCAAATGAGAAGGCGTAAGATGAAAATGATCCCGTAATTTTCATTTGTAAAATCTAAAAAATATGCTTCCGAAACCAAATCAAGCATCTTCGTAATGAGATTCAGTTTCTTCAACACAGCTCATTGTCCCCGGAAAAGTAAGTTCCTGCACTCCTTTACTTACCAAACTGCGGTTCTTCTTTTGGCAAAAGTAAAGAGGAAATTAGAACGTGTGAAGTGATATTACTAAGAGAACATAATTAAGTAGCTTTTCCACTTGTTTAACAGATGAATAATTGGAATGACTGTATTCCTGATATAGGATGGAAGTGAAGTCCTTGATTCTATGTTCTCAATCATGGTTAGTGAAGGCACACTTAGGTTTAGTGGCCACTGCTTATTTGCTGGATATCACAGAAGAGGGAAAAAAAATCAATTAAATTGTTGAGATGGTTTTAAAAAAATCAATCAAATGTAAGAAAAGAGTAATACCAGCTCCTTTCTGTCTGTTTTTTTTATGTCCTTAAAGCCTGTTAACTAAATATCAGGGCTCATAACTAGGATGCATCTGCTGTTGAATCTACTAGAGTGGGTACTCTAGTACAGTTGCATGCTCTAGGGGTTAAATATTTTCAATATCTGGTGTACAACCTTCTGTTGAAGAAGTCCTTAAGCATATTTATATAATTTTGCAGGTATACTCTACATCCGTTGCAATGCTGTTGACGGCAGTTGTGTCTGTTTTCCTATTCAGATTTCATCTTTCCCTTGCCTTCTTTCTTGGGTCCACGTGAGTATGCTTGTAATTGTACCATTCAGGCAACAACTATGCGAAGGTTATCGACTAAAATATATTCTGTTTGCAGCGTTGTTTCAATCTCAGTATATCTGCATAGCATCGGGAAGCTCCAAAGATAGTGATTTGCGATTTTTCAGCTTATGAGAATGGTCAGTGTAAGGGCTCTTATGATTTTTTGTGCTGTTATGGCCATTGTTTTTTTTGTTCGTATCTGTCAATTTGATCATACCTTTAGATAGAATCCAAATCGATTGTTCATTTAGGCATTAGAGTAGTTGGACATGTATTTTCCTAGTAATTAAGAAATTGAACCATCATTGTTTTCCCATGTGTGTACAAAAATCCTTTCTTTTCATTTGTTGTCTGAAATCTTGACATTCTTGAAATGTCAAAGTACAACTGTCCATGCAGAAGTTCTTGTAGGTTGTGGTACATCCTCGGATTGCAAGAGTACAGAGCTTTGAGGACCAGAGAGAATATAGCGGAAACTATTATTGGTGTTCTATCCATATGATTTTTCTCTACTAATCATTGGTGAGGTATCCATCCAATTCTGCAGCTGAAGAACTTTAATGAAGCAGACAAGGGCATTGAATATGCATCCTATAGTCCTGTACACTTATGAGGGATGTAACTTTCGCTTGTATGAAGAAGATAACAGTAGAGTTATTTTGATATTAACTCAATTGCATTATTATGCCCTTCTACCATGTGTTGATCAATAACTAGATTGGATCCTGAGCTGAAAAAGTGGACATTACTCTGTGGCTGGTGGGATGCATTGTATCTATTCGGATAACTACACGCATAAAGTATCCTGGTATATAAATATAATCAGATTGTGAAAAAAAAAATTATATATATAAAAATTAATACTGTTCGAGGAATTTGGTGAGCTACGATTTAGGTTTTGAAGTGTTTTAAACGATTTTGGTTGACTACAAAGAAATATATTTTGTGAAACGTCACTTCAATGCCATTATATTTAGGCTGATTTTTCACACACAAAAGTTATATAGATTTATTTGGAATGTTGACAGTAGGATGCGAGAAAGATAGCACAATGAAGCATTCTGGTAATGCATATAACAATGAGTTGACATATTCCAGGAAAAAAAAGAAATAGAATGACCAGTACAACAATGTCAAAAATATGTTGTATTTCTACGGCTGAGAACAACAGTAAGAGTGGCTGGCTGTGTTCATTCGATTCAACATTTAGTTGGACTGACGAATATGTTGATAATCCAAAAACTCATCGTACTTTATCACGCAATCATACAGCCGTCCTCCAAGAAACTGTGCAACCTCTTGGTGCTTCACCTGAATTACCAGAAACAAATATATATGAGGGGAAGTAATTAATAATAATCTACGCGAGGGAAAAGTAATAACTGTCAGCAATAATTACAAGATTAGATCTGGCTAATTACCATGGCAATCTTCAAGGAATCGCATTTAAACTGCGCATAAAGGTTAGTCTCTAATCCGCGGCCCTGCCACAAAAAAAATTAAGAATGAATAACGGGTAATGAGGACATGCCACTATTATTATATCATTAAAAACGAACAACAAGCCAAGAAGATCAAATCCTAATTAGATAAAGATGTAAATGTATCTTCACACCATAATACAAGTGGACTATGAGCATTTACCATTCCTTCCAAAACCACGAGGTCTGTGTCACTTGCTAGGTATGAAAGTTCTTGTGATACTCTTGTAAGATCAATAACCTACGAGAAATAAAGAGAACAAAATCACATGACTAGAGAGTCCAACCATAAAAACCCAAAGAAAAGAAAAGTTGAAAAAATTAAATACTAAGAAATAGCATAGAGCTTCTTACCGGTAAATCGTTACCGGAATTTGCAATTAAAAGATTTGAAGTATCAACTCCCAGAAGCTTCCCGTTCTCATCTTTCAACTGTAAAAGTAGAAACCTTTAGATAAATTGAACCTAGAGTATACGTTACAACAGCATCAACTGCTATACTACCTTAGCTATTATCTCAATTAACTCTGTGTATGTTACATCATTGATAGACGGCAAGTCATTTGCTGCTAATACAACCTGCAAATATAGAAAACATCATGCTTAAAATAGGCTTAGCTTTAGACCAACCAGAATACATAAACCACAATGTTTGTTCAGAGGTGATTGCGAATTACCAAGAGAATTCATATCCCAAATCCAAACTATATTTTTACTTTCTACTAAGACAGACATTAATTCAGTAACAACCAAATCCTGTGTTATTTGTCATTTGACTCA